TGGAGGTTCCAGATTTGAGACAAAAGACTATTTCTTGTGTCTCAATGAGAAATCAACCATATCGCAATGAAGCGGTTTTAAATCTCTGAACAATATTCTTGATCAAAGTGCTAGTGAGAGTTCAATACTCTTTCAATGGCGGAAATGTAGAACTCTTTGGGCATTGTACCCATGATGGACTCTCGTTTCTCCCCGTTCTTGAACAGCAGAACTACTGGCACGGCCTTTATCTCATACTCTTCAGCCACCAACAAGTCATTGTCTGCATTCAGGACATAGCAGTTTAGTTTTCCTGCATAGTCTCCTGCTATTTCGTTGATTATCCTGTGGACCATCCTGCATGGACCGCACCAACTTGTGTAGAATTCTACTAGCACCGGCGTTTCGCTTTTCAGGACTGAGCTTTCCCACGACCGTTCTGTAACTTCAGCTGCTGCACAGAGTCAAACCGGAAATATGAGATGTGAGGATCTCAAAACTTGGATATTCTTCATGACATGGTTATAATAATCGAACGACAAGAGAAAAACTTTCACAAAGAACTATAAGCATTGTCAACCGAAGCAACTACATTTCTATTATTGTTGGTTTTTGTGCTAAGCTGTGGAACTAGACTAGAGTTGCAATAAGTCCTACAACAAGAAGAGTACAGTGTAAGCCGAGTGAGAGTACAAATTGATCTAATGAGAAGACGAGATTGGGTATCAAAAGCATTTGGAACAACACAGCTTATACATGTTTAGCTTATTCGGTAGAACAAATCTTACTTTGTTGTCTACCAAACTAAATTGTTAGAGATCAGTGTAAATAAACTGTAGTTTTTGCATTTCATGCCCATTTATAAATTATGAGCTCCAAGGAGATTCGACCATACCTAAACTAGAATCTTACACGCATTTAAGCGGCTTTCGATAATCTCAACATGCAAGATCTTCACACAAATCTTATTCCATTTCTTTCTTTCTTTCTCAAGTGATAGGTGGAGTCCTGGCCACATTGCAACTATCTCCAAGTTTACAGATTTACTTTGTTATTCACCAACCAAACTTATTAATCAGAGATCTAGTTAAATGAACTGTAATAAAGCTATGAGCTCTAAGGAGCTTTGACAATAACTATTTTAGTTCCTACAAACTTAATTGCAAGATCTTAACATTGTTCTTACCCTTGCAGATATCTCCAAGTAGACAGATTCCAAACTAGATGAGCAATAAGCAAAGCAGCTAGACCTACATTTATGATCTAGATCAAGAAAAGGAAAACTTGAGAGCTCATAAAGTTACCAAAAAAAAAAGGCAAAGTCCAAAATCAATGGAAAACAAATTTGATCAAGATTAAACTCTTGGATTTATACTGAACCTACTGAATTTGATGAAGATTTGAAGAAGATCCCAAAAACCACTTACTGAAACCACACAAATACTCATCATTCAGTAAGATCATGAGTGTATTTACCTTTAGAATCA